TTTCCATTGCACGAACAGGTACACTGCCTACACGTACAGACACACCCTTACTCGAACAGACATGACATACACATCTCCTGGTGAACAGGTAAGTCTTTTGACAATGCCCTTTGCCTTAGATCTAGATGTGCCTGTTGATAGAGAACTTGACTTTTGACATGTTTTCACGTTTCTGAGCCCTGGCAAGATACCTTTTCACAATGCTTTACAAGGCCCGTGCTGCTCTATTTTTACAAGGCCCGAGGCCTATATCGGGTAAAGGCCCTTTAACTGTCCTCGTGAAGAAATCCAGAGGACCTCATCCTAGCAGGGGGCGAGCACCGTCATCACCTTGAAATTCCTTGCCCCCACAAGAGTTCCAGTCTCTGTCCTCAAGGAGGTGGACCAGCGCTACCTAACGCCAATCGCGCCAACGTTCACCCTCGTCAGCCGGTACCCATCAGATAGCCTAGACTACCCAACGCCAATCACATCTAATAAGAGCTCCCCCTTGTCGGTACCCGTCAAGCAATCCTATTCCAGGTCAACTTGGAGAAATGCGAGTTTGGTCACTCCTAGATCTTGTATCTGGGTCATCAGATTTCTACGGATGGTCGGATGATGCCAAGGTGGCGAGCATACGTGATTGGCCCAGACCTCAGTCTATGACTGAGGTGAGGTCATTTTTGGGGATGACGGGCTACTACCGTCCGCTTGTAAAGAACTATAGTAGTATAGCCTCCCCTCAAACTAACCTCAGGTGCCTTGACATCCCATGGGAGTGGATCGAAGAGTGTGAGGCAACCTTCAAGAGATTGAAGTATGCTCTGACGCACTATGAAGTCGTCAAACTTCCAGATCCTAAACAACCCTTTGTCGTGACCACAAACGCATAGGCGTTGCCCTTGCACAGAAGGAGGGGAAAAAGTCTAGACCGATCGACTACATGAGCAAAAAGATGTCATCTTAGCAATTAGCTAAATCCACGCATGAGCGTGAGATCTATGCCCTCTATAGAGCGCTGGTCCATTGAAGGCGCTGCCTTCGAGGCAGATTCTTTTATGTTAGATCTTACCATGAGACGCTATGCTGGATTAAGACACAACTGGTGCTCTTGGACAGACTCGAGAGGTGGATTGAACTCGTAGAAATGTAAGACATCAAGCTTGACCCTAAAGGGGAGAGTACAATAAAGTGGCGGATGCACTATCGCGTAGGGCATACTATTTCGGCACGCTAGTGAGCGAGTTAGGAATTTCTGACGATGTAACTCGGTCCATGGTGGAAGCCTATCAAGAAGATGCAGTTATGTCCGAGATCATGCGCAAACTTGAGGCTAAAGATAAGGTCACATCAGACGAATTTGTGCTGGTTGATGGCTTGTTGTTCCTTGAGAAGGCCAAGAATAAACGCTTGTGTTTTCCAAATAGAGAGTCTTTGCGTAGTTTATTTTTAGGAGAATGCCATGACGCAATTGGACATTTCGGTAACAAAAAGACAACAGTCAATTTAGTACAGCGTTTTTGGTGGCCCATTATGATGGATGACGCGAAGAAATAGTAGAGACTTTCCATGTTTGCCAACGGGACAAGCCACAGACGCGGGCACCTCTTAGGCTTATCAAGCCCTTGCCTATCCCTCCTGGTCCTTCGAGTGTGTCCATGGACTTCATGGATACCCTTGTGACCAGCAAGAGTGGCAAACGTCACATCTTCGTCATTCTAGACAGGTTCAGCAAGTACACTAGACTGATAGCTATGCCAAAAACAACTAAGATTGATCATGTGAGGAATGAACCCTCAAGAAGGGGCCTTGCCATGTTGTACATGTTTTGGGCCAAGGCCCCAGCAAGCCTCGTGCCCGCCCTAAGTGAAGGCGGGCCAGTAAATCCACAAGAGCACTCTGTGCCAACATTTCACGAAGTGGGGTTCATACAGTTGCAGCACGCCAGTTGGTTGGAGTGCACCGAGTCTCGGATTTCAGCAATTGCCCAGGGCCTCTGAGTTAGTTAGGCCTTGGGCACTTGAACGTGAGGCCGACAATGCATGCTGGGTATAGAGGCCGAAAATGCCAAGGGAAATCGGCCCACTATCTGAATCTGGCCGCAGGCCTTGATGAAAGAGGCGCAACTATATTGCCCCAAGGCCCAACTGTATCGGGCTGAGTTCAGCCCCTGGGCTCGGTCACAGGCTGAAGGAAGGCCGCCCACACGCTGCACTGGCATATAGGCAAGCAGGGCGAGTGGGCAGGGATCTTGGCCATTGTGGGCAATGTCGGCACGCTGAGCAAATGCGAGCTGCTGCTGCTGCTACGCTGCGCTAAGAGAGGTGCAAGGCAGGCCAGTGCTAGGGGTAGGGCGCTGCCTGCGCACCAGGGCACTGGCGGCCATAGCCGGGCCGCATGAGGGTGCAGTGAGGGTGAAGGGCGAAGGTGGTCTTCGGAGGTGAAGGGCGTTGTGTGGGTAACAAGGGAGAGTGTGGGGAAGAGGACATGTACCTGGTGGAGGTGGAGGTCGGCATTGGTGTTGACATCATCACTCGCTGGTAGTCAAGTTGTCTGGTTGCTTTCATTGCTGTAGTTGTATTTTGGTTGTAGAGTAGATAGGGCGCCTGGCGCCATTCACAAGAGAGCTAGATTTGGGTTATGCTGTTGGTGTTGCCCTGTTGGGCATGGACATTGACTCATGATTCTTCTGTATCATTCTCAATTGGATGGTTACTCGGTTCGATTGTACTATCTGCTTTGGCTTGGACTACTTGGACTTCAGTGTGATTTTGCAGTCTGGATTTCTGTGCTTCGTCCATACTCATGTTCCTTGCAATTTGGTATCGGAGCTGGTTTGATCGCCACTTACCTTCGGCATGCTGGCGTTATACAGACTTGGTGCGTTGACGATGCTTCTTCGCAGTGGGTACTTGTGACGTCAGGCCACGTTAGGTGCACGCCCTGGGTAGAGAGGGGTGCAGCGGAAGGCTATTACGACAGGGAATGCCGTGGGATACAGCGGAATGTTTGATTGATGATGAGAGCATGCTGATGTGGCATTGGACTAAGGTGGCACTGCATTACGTTGTGGGTGGTACCGAGGTCATGACCGGTCATCAAATGCAACATCAACTCTGTTGGTGAGAAAATCCGTGGTTGGGGGCAGCTATCTCTTGGTATGATGATCCCTTACCTTATCTACCTTCTCAATCTCTTCTTATCGTGAGGAAGTGAGTCCAACTTGAGAGTCCTCTCCTTGGTGAGGTGTCGTGAGCGCGCTACCTTGAGAGACGATCTTCCTGGAAGCATCTGGAAGGAGAAAGGGAGGTGCCTCTGAAGGGCCCTGGTCGAAGCACTGGGTCACTGTCACCATGCCAACCCACAGGGAGTAGTGCACGCATGCGATGTCTGCTGTCCTGTTTGGCACTTGCTGCGCTGAGATAGAAGTCTTGCCAAGTGTGCCAGCCTCGTATGAGACGCTTACCAGATCGTCTATAAACATTTCTGGTTGGGTACTCGGTATGATTCTGGCTGCGATCGTCGTCCTGACTGCGACGTTAAAGAATTCCTGAAGAGATGGGGGCGCTCCAGATCATCCGGGTGTAAAGCTCATTTCCGTACGAGGGTGAATAAGAGTGGGCTAGCTGGCTTACTTGGCTCTGACTTGGGCACAGGGGTGGGCCGATACACACAAAAACATCGCTTTGCTCAAGATGCTGTTCGGTATGTTGGATTGAGGGGAGGGTAGGTTCCAATCGGAGCTCAACTGTGTACACAACTATACCCATCAATTATATATCTGCTACATTGTCTTTTTGTACCTTTGATTAGTTGGTTGACGGACTGCTAACCTCACAGACAGATTAGTGTAGGACTGTTGTATGCTGCCATAGCCAGTTCTAACTAATGCTGCTGTAAGTGAACCAATCAGGGTGCATCTAGACTATGTAGACAATCTGTGTGAATGTTGTAGACATGCCACTTGATTCGGTATAGTAGGGAACTCGTCGCACACAACTATTTATAGAAAATTACGTGCGGTCAGATACATGCTGCGGTAGGATTCCATTAGGGGATTCTAGTGCAGATGCTATCTGCCTAACTAATGAGTGGGTCAGACCGTGTTGATGATAGAGCTGACATTAAAAGACTAACACGTGCAGGGGCATTAAGGGTACCTCACGTGTTCCAGGCCTTAGATTCGGGAGAAGAAAGACGGCTACGTAGAGCCCGTGCGCTAGCAGCGGGGATAGCAGCAGCAAACCCAGCAGTTAGAGAGCAGGCAACAACGACCAGAGCAGCAGCGATGGCTAATGGCGCAAGCTCTGCTCCGTCATCATCTGCGTCCTCGTCAGGTACTAATGGGGGCCCGTTGGGAATGCCAACGAGTTCCACAAGTTCCTCAGGCACTTCCGGTTCCACAGGTTCTAGACAGTCTTCTAGTCAAATGGCGGGCTCGCAGCTCAGCCCGTTGACCCCGCGTCAGAGGGAGCTCAGAGAGATCCAGCACGTCGAGATGCTCCGCCGTAAGTTAGAGCAGGACCTGAAAGAAGCTACCGATAGAGAAAATGCGATGAAAACTAGAGCAGCCAGGCTTGAATCTTTAGAGGCTGACAAGGCTGAGTTAGAGGGCTTGGATGAGTCAGCATTGACTGACCCGCTCAAAGTATTGAAGAAGAATATGTTGTCATTGCACGCACACGTGGACAACAAATTAGACTTCATGCAGAGCATTCTAGACCAGATCGTGGATGCATTGACAAAGCCAGGATTCCGGCCACCAGCACAATCGTCGTTGCCGTTATCGGCGATGTCAGGCCCCTTTCCAGTCCAAGCTGGTACACAGCCAAGTGGTACGTCTGTAGCAGTCTCAGAGACTGTTGCATCTTCTTCTTCGGGTCCAGCGGTGGGAGCTACACCACCGCAACAATTTGTTCAACAATCTGGACAGCCGCAGGGTCAATGGAATCCTAAGACCCCAATGAAACCACCTCTTGCCTTCTCAGGCGAAGGAAAGGGCGAAGAACTCAACACTTGGTTGAGAACAGTCCCGGTTTGGGTGAAGGCCAAAAGAACCTTGCTAGAGGACGAAGTGGTAACTGCGGCATCTTACATGGAGGGTAAGGCAACCTAGTGGTTAGATGGTGTAGTTATAAAGGCCGGGTATGGGAGACGCATGGCGGACTGGGCTAAGTCTTTGACGTTAGACCAGTTCATGGAAATGGTAGAAGCTCGTTGGCATAACCCACAGGAGGCTCAAAAGGCCGCTGATGCCATTAACAAACTAGACCAACGCAAGTTCATGTCAGTTAGAGAGCTTACTACTACCGTTGAGAGCCTGATCCTCGTCCCAGGCATTAACTACAGAGACCAGTTCCTATTGACTACGTTTGTCGGATGTCTCCCAGAGAACATTAGGAACTTGCTAGCCAGCGAGGCACGCACTGAGTACCACTCGTTTGAGACACTGTCTAGGAAAGCCTTAGACTTGGAGGCCACGCTAGGCAATGCTCAACCCACCTCAGGGAATGACTTAAAGAAGAAGAAGAGTCCTCAGGAGTGGAAGAAGAAGGGGGCGAAGTTGATGATGGTTGAGTCTGATAGGACTCAAACTGAGATCGATGAGCTCTCTGACCTGATGGACTACTCAGAGTATGACGGCGAGGAGGTAGCTGAGGGTAGCACCCTTGTCGCGGTAGTTAAGACTAAGGCGGCCGACCGAGGGAAGGGCCAGCCTAGGGGTCAAGGGAAGGCCGCCTCCAATCAGACTAAGCAGGCTGAGTGGGTAAAGGCATGTCTAGAACAAGACGTGTGGCGTGACCGCCGAACGCATGGTGCTTGTATCAACTGCGGGGAGTACGAACATTCGCAATACAAGTGCCAGAACGCAAAGGTTACGCAAAAGGTAGCTCCAAAGATGGGGGCAACCTACTCCCTGGCTTCTAGCTCGGGAAACGCGTAGGGCCAGTGGAAGTATTAGCCGCTTCGACTCAAGATGAAGTGGGATTGATACCCTCCCCACTTCATGACAAGGCCAAGGCTAATTCCCCTTAGTCACCCCGTAGACACAACCAGACCAAACTATGCTCTGTACGTTAGATGTGTCTGAAGCCTTAGAAGACTTAGAGAGTGAGTGGTCGAACAAGGACCCTCGTGAGTCTTGGGTGGCACTAAGGAAAGGTCCTAGAGGGGAACATTTCGTGGTGGAAGTCGATGTAGGAGGCMGCAAATGTGGTGCCTTCATAGACATAGGCTCCACGCGGAATTACATAAGTCACGACTGTTTGGAAAGGCTGCACCTACAGGACCGGGTACGACACCTTAGTAGACCAGTAGCATATACTTTGGCCAACAAGGAGCGCATGATTGTAACAGACTACATCAAGGACGTAGTCTGTACCTTCTCCTATGGAGGAGGTGAGCTTAATCATAAGATCTCGTTCTTGGTTAGCGACGACTTGCCATTTGACATGTTATTAGGCATGTACTACCTCGAAGTTGCTAAGCCCCAGTTTGACTGGGATAAGAATGCGCTCAAGCATAAGTTGCTCGATGGCCGAACTGTCAGATTGACTAAGTTCAAGGCCAGTAGTATTATAGATACCTATGGCTGCTTGTGCGCATCTGCGTTCTACAATTACTACAAGCAAAACCAAGAGGACGGTACGTACCTTGTTTTCGTCTTTGAGAAGGGGGAGGCCGTTAAAACAACCCCAGAGATAGAACGTGTCGTTGCTAAGTTCCCTGATCTGTTCGAGGAGCCCACAGGAGTTGTTGAAAGGGAAGTCGTCCACGCTATAGAAATCATTCCAGGGAGTAAAACCCCGAAGGGAAGGATCTATAGGATGGCCCCCGCCGAGTTAGATGAACTTCGGCGACAGAGAAGGGTTGGATTCGGCCTAGTACTTCCCCTTACGGATCGCCCGTTCTATTCGTACCGAAGAAGGGGGGTACTTTGAGGATGTGCATTGATTATAGAGGCCTCAATGCCATCACTGTGAAGAACGCAGAGCCTCTACCTCGCATAGACGACCTATTGGATAGGGTGCAGGGATGCAAGTACTATAGTTAGATAAACTTGAAATACGGATATCACCAGATCGCAATAAGACCTGAGGACCAACACAAGCCAGCTTTTTAGACGCGTTATGGTTTGTACGAGTTTGTAGTGATGCCCTTTGGTCTTTGTAATGTGCCGGGTACGTTCCAGCACGCTATGAATCGGATCTTCCATGACCATTTAGATAAGTTTGTCGTGGTGTACTTAGACGACATTCTGATCTTTATTAAGTCTGCCGAGGAGCACGCAAAGCATGTTGAGACAGTTCTCTCACTCCTGCGACAGCACAGGTATAAGGTCAACTTAGAGAAGTGTGAGTTCGGTCGCACTAAGATACTATACTTGGGTCATGAAGTATCCGAGGAGGGAATTAGGCCGGAAGATGCGAAGGTGGCTAGTATCCGAGATTGGCCACGACCTCAGACTGTCACTGAGGTCAGATCTTTCTTAGGAATGTGCGGCTACTATAGGAACTTTGTTAAGAACTATTCTACAGTCGCCTCTCCTTTGACAGATGTAACTCGACTTGACACGCCGTGGGACTGGAGTGATGAGTGCGAGGGTGCTTTCAAGAAATTGAAGTATGCACTTATGAATCACGAGGTTCTCATGGTTCCTGATCCGCAGAAGCCATTCATAGTAACCACTGACGCAAGCCAATTCGGCATTGGCGCAGTGCTGGCTCAGCAGGATGGGAAAAAGTTGAGACCGATTGAGTACATGAGTAAGAAGATGCCATCGAAGAAGTTGGCTAAGTCCACCTACGAAAGGGAACTCTATGCTCTCTATAAGGCACTTGTCCATTGGAGACACTTCCTTTTGGGAAGGTTCTTCTATCTGAGGATTGATCATCAGACCCTCAAATGGATCAAGACTCATCCGGCTCTTTCTGATGCACTCAAGCGATGGATTGAGGTCATAGAGCAATATGACTTCAAGCTTGAGTACCTGAAGGGAGAGTACAACAAGGTTGCAGACGCACTATCCCGTAGAGCAGACTGCCTAGGTGTGCTAGTTTCTGACTTTGGCGTATCTAATGAAGTAACTCAATCATTGGTGGGAGCCTATCAGGAAGACCTTGTCACGATGGACTTCATCCGCAAACTTCAGGCAAAAGACAAGGCCACAGAAAGTGAGTTTGTGATGGTGGACGGGCTACTCTATCTTGATAAGGCCAGAATATAGAGATTGGGAGTTCCATCTAGTGAACAGTTGCGTAGTTTATTTTTAGGCGAATGTCATGACGCAACTGGGCACTTTGGCTACAAGAAGACGAGTGCTAACTTAGTACGACGATTTTCGTGGCCCAGAATGCTAGATGACGCAAAGAAGTATGTGGAGACCTGTGAGGTCTGTCAGCGGGACAAGCCGGGAACTCAAGCACCGCTTGGGTTGTTAAAGCCTTTACCTATTCCTGATGGTCCAGGATCGAGTGTTTCCATGGATTTCATGGACACCCTAGTGACCAGCAAGAGTGGTAAGAGGCGCATTTTCGTCATCATCGACCGATTCACCAAGTACGCTAGACTAATACCAATGCCAGAGACAACCAGGACAAAATACGTTATCAAGTTGTTCAAGGACAACTGGGTGCGGGACTTCGGTTTACCAAAGACTATCGTTAGTGATAGAGACGTCCGATTCACAAGTGAGCTATGGAAGAAGACTGCGGAACAAATGGGCAGTCAACTTCAGATGACTTCAGGGAATCATCCCGAAGCCAACGGACAAGCCGAACAGATGAATAGAGTTGTACAGCACTTGCTGAGGCATTACATCAAGCCCAACCAAAATGATTGGGATGAGCAGTTGCCACTCATCGCCAGTTTGTACAACAATGTTGTGCATAGCAGCACTGGTGTGAGTCCTAACCAGCTACACTTGGGATGGAAGCCTAGATCCGCGTTAGACTTCCTCCTACCTGAAAACCGACCTGCTGCAACCCCAGACACACTGGAATATGGTGTGCAGTATGAAAAGTTGATGCAAGCTGTCGAGCACATAAAGAAAGCTCAGCAAGCAATGATTGCTTCTGAGAATGAACATCGTAGACAGTCCACATTTCAGGTAGGGGAACGTGTCTGGGTCAAGGTTAGCGAGCTAGGACAGGAATTCGTTGTCTCTCGCAAACTAATGCCTCAATGCTTTGGTCCCTGGGAAGTCCTAGATATAGTGGGAGATGAGATGGATGGTCCCACCTACGTCATTCGTGTCCCTGGACACCTAGGCACTCACCCAGTCTTTCATGCCTCAAAGCTTGCACCTTTCGCTGAGACTGATCAATTCCCTTTCAGGAGATCGATGCTGCCCCCAACCATGGATGGACAAGTCGACATGGATGACATTGTGGATCACCGGGACATGCCTGTTGCAAAGCCGTTGGGTCGAGGAAGACCTCCTAAACCCAAGAGAGAATGTTTTGTCAGATTTAGGCATCACACGGACCCCAAAGAAGGAACTGATTGAGACAGCTCCTCAGGCGGTGGCAGAATATGAAAGGATGCTGAAAGGGAAGGCACCTGCGAAGTAAGCATCTCAGCGGACTTTCGAAGCTAAGGGGGATGGAATGTGAGGAATGAGCCCTCAAGAAGGGGCCTTGCCATGTTGTACATGTTCTGGGCCAAGGCCCCAGCAAGCCTCGTGCCCGCCCTAAGTGAAGGCGGGCCAGTAAATCAACATGAGCCGTCTGTGCCAACATTTCACGAAGTGGGGCTCATACAGTTGCAGCACGCCAGTTGGTTGGAGTGCACCGAGTCTCGGATTTCAGCAAATGCTGAAAGCCCAGGGCCTCTGAGTTAGTTAGGCCCTGGGCACTTGAACGTGAGGCCGGCAATGCATGCTGGGTATAGAGGCCGAAAATGCCAAAGGGAAATCGGTCCACTATCTGAATCTGGCCGCAGGCCTTGATGAAAGAGGCGCAACTGTATTGCCCCAGGGCCCAACTGTATCGGGCTGAGTTCAGCCTCTGGGCCCCGGTCATAGGCTGAAGGGAGGCCGCCCACACGCTGCACTGACATATAGGCAAGCAGGGCGAGTGGGCAGGGATCTTGGCCATTGCGGGCAATGCCGGCACGCTGAGCAAATGCCAGCTGCTGCTGCTGCTGCGCTGCGCTAAGAGAGGTGCAAGGCAGGCCAGCGCTAGGGGTAGGGCGCTGCTTGCGCACCAGGGCACTGGCGGCCATAGCTGGGCCGCATGAGGGTGCAGTGAGGGTGAAGGGCGAAGGTGGTCTTCGGAGGTGAAGGGCGCTGTGTGGGTAACAAGGGAGAGTGTGRGGAAGAGGACAYGTACCTGGTGRWGGTGGAGGTCGGCATTGGTGTTGACATCATCACTCGCTGGTAGTCAAGTTGTCTGGTTGCTTTCATTGCTGTAGTTGTAGGATAGGCTGTAGAGTAGATAGGGCGCCTGGTGCCATTCACAAGAGAGAGCGACATTTGGGTTATGCTGTTGGAGTTGCCCTGTTGGGCATGGACATTGACTCACGATTCTTCTGTATCATTCTCAATTGGATGGTTACTCGGTTCCATTGTACTATCTGCTTTGGCTTGGACTTCTTGGACTTCAGTGTGATTTTGCATTCTGGATTTCTGTGCTTCGTCCATACTCATGTTCCTTGCAATCACGTCATCAAGTTGTTTATGGATAACTAGGTGTGTGGCTATGGTCTTTCGAAGTCCATCGTTAGTGACAGGGATGTCAGATTCACAAGCGAACTGTGGCAAAAACAGCCCAACAAATTGGCACCCAACTGCAAATGAAATCAGGGAACCACCCTGCGTCTAATGGCCAGGCTGAGCAGATGAACCGGGTAGTGCAGCACTTGCTTCGGCATTTTATTAATCCAAGTCTAGATGACTGGGAACAATGTTGTGCACAACACTACCGATATGACTCCCAATGAGCTGCATCTTGGTTGGTAACCCATATCTACTCTCGACCTCTTCCTGCTTAAAAATCAGCCAACTGCGGCACCATGCAGGATAGAGTTCGCTGTCAAGTATAGATGCTGCAGCAGGCTGTCGAGCACATCAAGAAAGCTTGGGATGCCATGGTTGTATTTGAGAACAGACACAGATGACCATCAACATTTTAAATAGATGAACGAGTCTGGGGAAAGTCATATGAGTTGGGACAGGATTTGGGAATCTCTCGCAAACTGATGCCATAGTACTTAGGACCGTGGGAAGTCTTAGATATAGTAGGAGATCAACTGGATGGTCCATCGATGATATTGTTGAGCACAAGGTGATGCCTGTGCCAAAGCCTCCAGGCAGGGGACACCCTTCAAAACCCCATATGCAATATCGAGTGCGGTTCAAACACCATACACCTAAAGAAGATCGGTGGTTCACAAGAGAAGGGCTAATGAAGAAAGCTCCCCAAATTATCTGAAGTTATGAACGGAATTTGAAAGGGAAACAGCCCGCTGTATAGTGGCTTCTCAGAGTGCTATCGACGTAAAGGAGGAGGGAGTGGGAGGACTTCACCCCTCGACACACTGCGCAAGGCCCTGCAACAAGCACGTGCACCCTGAATCTCAATGTGCCCTGAACTTGTTAATTTTTGCAGATCTTGGTGGGTGTCAGACAGTTGCCACGCGCGAGTTGGTTACCTCCGCCTTGCTCGTGAGAATCTGAGATATTCGTGAGCCTTTCAGGCTCTTCCAGCAATGTGGTAGAAGCAGAGAACACTGCACGTTTGTGCCCGGGTGGTTGGGCAGGCCTAACCAATTCGATGCCAGGCCACCGCCTGAACGGGCCCGGGCGCAGACACTTTGGTCGAGACTGAAGCTACTGGAAACTTGGCCTCACGTGGGCAAGTTGAAGGCAACGCGGCCCCCCACTTTCCATATAGGAAAAGGGCTGGGGTACGAGGCAAATATTTTGCTACTTGGTGGAGTGGGCAGTAGCGCTGCTGGCGGGGGCGCTCACGTGTTGCTGCTAGCGCAAATGCCCACGCGCGTTTTCGGAGGGCGCTGTGTCCCTGCCCTCCGCTGTGTGTCAGGCGTCCGCTCGCTTACCTCCCGTGCATACCAGGTTCCCTGCTCACAGACCGCGGTGTACCAGGCTCCCTGCTCACGAGCCTCCGCGGTGTATCAAAATTGCCACACTGGTTAAGAGGTTCTGACCTGGTAGGGAACCGCGGTCCAGTCCGCTCTACTTGACATCAAGAGGCTGCACTGCGTGCCAGAGGAGAGTTTAATGCACGCCAGTTGTTAACCATGATATATGGCTGGAGAGTTGTGTCAATGTGTGCTCATCGTAGTTTACATCATTTTATTTTATTTTGTTTATTTTTATTTTGCTTCATCAAACTAATTAGCCCTGACCCTTCCATGGTCACTCTTGCTGAGAAGCTACCGCTAAATGTTGTTGTGTGAAGGGCTCGATTAGCCTCAAAAAAAAAAAAAAAAAAAAAAAATCGCGGCCATATTCGCATTCACGAGGCTTGGATCAAGACCAGAGAGTGCTGTTGGACCCGTACATGGAATAAGCGTCAATGGTAGTACCAGTGAGCTTGGCCCACTGGGGCGGTACCTTCCCCGTTTTCGACACACGCAAGTGTTGGCTCGTGTGCCACGTGTTGACCCGCGGATCCGCCACCTGGCATTCTATGAGAGGACAAGGGTTTTGTCATGCACACGGTGCAGGCATTTGTCGGGCGACCACTTGGCAGTAACAACGTCTAGGGTTTTGACTTTTCTCGGTCAGCAGTCGAGGACACACACTACTTACGCGTTGTGATGTGTAAGGCATAACAAGCCTATAGAGAGACGTAGAGTGTGAGAGAGAGTTACCAGTGATGGGATATGTTGACCATTGATTTCAGCCCAACTGTCAGTCGATCATAACAGTGATATTAGCAGCAACGACCAAACGGGAGGGATGACTGACCAGTGGCTGAAGCGAATCAGAGAGTGTGCTTGACTCGCCAGATTGTGGTCTGCGGTTGTGTCAAAATACTAACGACAGACGGTCGTGACCTAGCAGTGATCTAGTCGGGTGATTGGGAACTATAAACGTTGACTCCACTTCAAATGTTATCTATGGAGGCTAGCGACTGAGGGTTAGAGAAAGGCGGGAATAGCTGAACCTGGCTGCACGCTCCTCTTCGGATGACGACCAGTGATGGAAGCTGAACAGGAAGCCACACAAGTAGTCACCTATTTGTCCAAAGGATGTCTACTTTCATCTTGTTTTTTATGTATCGTGCATGCGTTTGTAACAAGGAAAAACACGTTTTGTCGTATATTTTATTTTCTTAATGTTTATGGAGCTTTGTGGGGAGATGAGTTTGACCATTGCCGCCATCCGTTGTTCTTATCTGAACCGTAAGCCATGTCCAGTAAAAGCAACAACAATCAACGCACCTCAAAGAGTGTGTCAGCAGCCTCTCAAGCACTCGTTGGCGCTGGCTGATCAGGAACTATTCGGAGAGGAACGATATTGGTCACAGCGCAAGACGAGTGTCCAACGTGTTGTACAACACACAAAAGAACAAGAGTCTGGGAGCACTCGACACCATCAATCTTGATCTTTAATCTGATCAAGCGCGTGGGGACCTTTATGCAGAGGTGTTCCTATCACCCTCGAGCGGACCAGAACGGGGACAGGATTTGTATTGGTGCACAGGGAGTGTCAGCAGCCTCTCAAGCACTCGTTGGCGCTGGCTGATCAGGAACTATTCGGAGAGGAACGATATTGGTCACAGCGCAAGACGAGTGTCCAACGTGTTGTACAACACACAAAAGAACAAGAGTCTGGGAGCGCTCGACACCATCAATCTTGATCTTTAATCTGATCAAGCGCGTGGGGACCTTTATGCAGASGTGTTCCTATCACCCTCGAGCGGACCAGAACGGGGACAGGATTTGTATTGGTGCACAGGGAGAGAGAGCCGACTTGCGGCCCAAACTGATCGATTCGAACTGAACATTGCGCAAATACCCACAACGTACCACGAACAAAGAAAATGGTAGTGCATACTTTTCAGTCCTATTTGAAGATTCATTGTCATTTCCCTCGTTTGGGTGAGTAGTGAAGGGAGAGAACTTGATCAGGAAGGATTG